GCATCTTTGTACAGTTCAGTAAAATAAGTGTGCCATTCTTCTTTCCGAATGTGATGGGCCTGCCTAAATTCACAGATTTCTTTCCGCTGATTTCGAAGAGCATTCCACATTTTCCGTTGCGCACCATAAAAGTCATGCTCCATTCCTTTGGTGTAACTTTCCCAATAGCCTTCTTTAATTTTCCTAATTCTCTGGTTCATCGAATTGCGGACCCTTTTGTACTTTTCATATTCTTCTGGAGTGGGATTAGATTTATACTGTAAAAATGCTTCCTTCTTAGACCTTGCAGCATCTCTGACTTCATCACAAAACCAGGGTGTCCGGGTATCTGTGCGATTTCTGTTTACTTTTCGCCATCCTACTGCCTCACCAGCTGCTTCCAGCACCTTCGATTTTACATGCCGCCACAGCTCATTTGCTGTCAAATCTTCATCTGGCACACTCTCCAACTTGCCATGCAGCCTGGAGCGATAGAAGCTCCTGATGCTGGGGTCGGACATCTTTTCAACACAAAGTTTTTCGAAAATCACCGGTTGCTGTTTTCGCTGACTGAAATCGATTCTTAGTTCGCATAACACTAAGCCGTGCTGAGTACCAGCATCTGCGGATGACAAGGTGCGAACATCTAGGATCTGCTGTGGATGTACATGCCGATTACTGATGATGAAATCAATCATCGATGCTTGGCCTCTCCGATTGGTCCAGGTAATTTTCTGTTGTAACGGGTGATCAAAAAACGTGTTATTAATCCTCAATTCATTTATGGCGCAAAACTCAATGAGTTCCTCACCGCTGTCATTCAAGGTGGGCTCATTGAATCTATTTTTGATCCCAGGTACAACATTATTCCCAACACGAGCATTCCAGTCACCCATCATGACTAACTTTTCCCGAGCTGGTATTGTGTCGATGACTTTTTGTAAAGACTCATAAAACGTATCTCGCTCTGGCTTCCCTCTACTCGTATCTGGCGCGTAAATTGATATCAGATTTAATTTTTCTCGGCCTAAGTAGATGATAACTTTTAGGATCCTTTCGCTTATATAATCGATATCAATGATATTATCAATGAGGTTCTTATGAACCAACATTCCAACGCCGGCGTGTGCTCTTTCACTCTTGTCGACGCCTTTATATATGAGCAGGTAGTTGCCCCTCATTACACTTCCAGCTCCTTTCCTCTTGGTCTCACTCAGCGCACAGATGTCGATCTTCTTTCCATCCAATTCAATAATAACTTCTTGCTCCTTATTTGTTAATGATGTCACATTCCAAGACGCAATTCTCAATTTTTGAGCCGCTTTTGTCCATTTGTCCGTTATCCTTAAATCTTTGGGTCGAAAGTCCTTTCTATTCTGATACCGAGGCTTTTTATTTCTCCTATGAGCAAAAACGGGTCTTTTTACCGGAGGCAGGTTGCTAGCCTTACCTCCGAACCCTCCTCCTTAGCCCGGGCTTGGGACCGGCAGTACCGTCGAGGAGACGGCACAGGCGGAGTTCGATTCTTTACCGTAGCTTAAAATGGGGAAATATCGATGATCAATTATTCACGCCATATCGCCACTGGTTCATTTGGAACCTGCAGACCCACCGCATGTGTAAAAGCAACTTTATGCTTTAGTAACGCAGTAACCATCATGGTAGAAAAGTTCTGGAAGCAACGAGAAAAGTCAAGACGAACTGTACCGCAAGGCACATTGAACCGTAATTTTAAGACTTTTAATCTTGAAATTATCCATACATAGTGACAAATTTGATAAACGTAAATAGATCGTATTCGATACATCAAACGGGTGAGATTGTATCGATATCGATTGGTTCAAAACATAAACATAGCCTCAAAATTAAATTCAGAAATCTGAGAGAACGGATCTTTTGAAACAGATTTTTTTTCTTCTTTTGAGTACCAAATGCCAATGCAAAGTGAAATTGTTAGGAAATTTCTCATTTTCAGCTTTTCCGATTAAAATCCTCAAAATTTGGTTTGAGGTTATGTTCTATTGTTTTGAACCAAACGATACATCGAACCGTTATCGAATACGGTCTATAGAATTTGAGATTTGCAAAAGAAACGGGGGAATATGATTGTTGACCTACGTCGTCCATCATGTGGGACGCCGGGACGCTCTAATTAAACGAAGTTGCGAGGCGCGCCAAGGAAGAGGAGGCGAAGTCCGCTGGGGAGCGGGGAGGGTGCGGGGAGGGCGCGGAAGGGACGAGGAAAGGGCCGAGGCGGAGGAAGGGAACAAGCCCCAAGCGTCTTGAAAGCATGGATGCTTCAACATTAAACCGGCGAACCCGGCCCGTTCCAACCCCCATCCCCATCCCTGCCCCCGTCCCCTCGCCGTCCCTGTCCCGAGCCCGAGTCCCCCCTGCCGCAACCACCCACCCGCCCACCGCCCCGCAGCCCGCCGGCTAGGCCGTCATTTGGCGCGTCCAAAAATAAGGTTGAGCCACCACCTACATCCTCCCCGAGATAAAAACCTCGCTCCAAGCCAGCGACTACTTTTTACGACGCTCTCATACCCTCATCCCCATCCCCATCCCCGTCCCAGAGCTCCATCCCCGGCTCGAGCCCTCCCCTCCCGCCGCCACCCACTCCAACATCCCAACTCCCGACCTCCGCGACCCTTGCAATCGACCCGAACGGGGAGCCGGGAAAACTCTCTCTCGGTCCCTCAGTCCCTTGGTCCCTTGGTCCCTTACTTCCCTCATTACTGGGCCGAGCGGAGGCGGAGGCGGTGGGCGGGCGGGGGGTGGGGGAGAAGGGGGCGAACCCGGGAGCTGGGATCCGGGAGGGGGCAGGCGGCAGGGGCGACGCTGGGCCCGAACCCACGGCCAAAGGAAAGGGCGCGCAAAGGGAGGGGGAGCGAAGGCACCGTCGACGCACGAAGAAAGCAGGGAGCGCGGCTGGAGCCCCCTAGGCCCTGCCGGCTTAGCGGCCCGTCAGCCTAGCGCACACAGCACACGGCACACCATGCCCGCTTCCAGATAAGGATGCCTCCCCGGGAAACGCGGGCTTTCGATAAAAACGAACGCGGAAAATGCGATACCTCCGGAAAATATATAACACTGCGACAAATATTTTGGCCGGCACCCCCGGAGTTCTCGGACCCCTTCCTTTTGTGTCGGGAGCCGCTTGGCCGTGCATCATTTCGGATGAATAAAACATGAAGTGGAGGCGACTCGAGTACACGATAGCAAACGCAGTTTTTATAAACCGGAAGAATGAGACGGACCCGGCGTCCGAGTTGAAACTCCGCAGCCATTTACCGGACGGACGGAACGAGACTTTCGGTGATTTGTTAAACATTACGCCATTGATAAATTGGTCTCGGGGTTTTATCTCTGTTTTGAGGGAGAAAACGCAGGGCTGCTATGAAAAAGGCACTTTTGTTAACTCGAGTAACTTATCAGAATGAAGATGCACCTTCAAAGATTTTTCCGCATAATTGTGGCAGAAAGATGACCTGCAAATTTAAATATGTGTTTCTTAATTTATGATTCCATTTCATTTCATTTCAAGTTCAAGTCATCATAATGCCTTGATTGCTGGAATATATACACAAATGCGGTATTTTTATAAAATATCATCAAACTAACGTAATTTTCTCCGCAAATTCATGAATTTGGTTTTCTCATAAGACTAATCGAATTAAACCTCTTAGTATCAATACAGAATCTAAGTCCGATACAATTTTGCTGCGAACATTCCATTCTCTATTCTAGCTTTGCCCCCTTTTGACTAAAACTGGTTTCCGCACAATTTGCGAGTGATGGTGTGTAATTCCTGTGTTTGAAAATGAACATGATCCTGAAAATAGCCGTTCATTTTATCAACCTCAATTCATTGTAGATACAGAACGATTTTAAAAATTTACGGCACCATCGGATCCTACCTGATGATTTCATTTGAATTATGGCATATCATTACAGTAACGTCCTTCCAACTTCAACGTTTCTCCCTTTTTCCTTGCTTTTTGTATCCATTGATTGTTTTTAATCATATCGTGCTTTTTCAAACGATGTTTTTTTTACGTCTCCAAATCCTTCCGAGAATAGCATTATCTTCAATTTATTTTCAGTTTTATTCCACTAAGCACATCAAGAATTTTTGAAAAAAGGAGAAAGAAACTTAATTATAATTTTTAATATTTGTAGAGGGTGGCCGCCGTCATTAAAGTCGAAACAGCGAACGAACGGTACCGTCTCTCATGGGTCAACTTACGGGATACAACTATTTTAACTCTTGCGTACCCTTCATCGCATAACCAATAAATTGAAGGCGAACTAGTGAGCTGCTTCATTACGTGGCTCACGCGTTTACTAATCTGTAATACCTTCGAATAGATATTACGCCCCGTTCATTTCTGTAATATTTAATTAACCCATAAAGGAGTCAACCAAGATTATCCTCCACAATTTTCTGGGAAAATTAAGGAGCAGGCTCTTCTTTAAGATATATTGCGACGAATAGCAGAGTAAGTTAAACAATGTCAACCCGTTATTGTTACAAATGCTTTTTGACCTATGTAAGGAATAAATTTATGATATACGGCATTTTTGACGAGATAAATAACTTATCTTCTCGAGGTCTACTAGAAATTTTTCCGCCCTAAAAAATTCATATAATATCATCTATCAGGGAATGTAACAGCAACGACAAATTTACGTATGTAATTATATCAGTCGTTACAATTAAAAAGATATTGCATGCTAGACTAAGCATTCGTGCCATTAAACTAAAGTTCTCGGGTTTGCATGTGAACAAGATAACATCGTGTTAAAACCGATGGATATAAAAGTTTAAATCTCCTAATTTTGACTTAATGTTTTAGTTTATGTTTTCTAGTTAACAAGTGACACGTTTACTGGCCCAAGGCGTTCGAAGTTTTAATGTTTTACGCTTGATAATGCTCGTTGTAATTTTTAAGGTGCTTCTGCACAGGTCAACTTTGGTTCAACATGTATCACATGTTTGGTATTTTATTTTGTTGCAGATCACACAAACCTACGCATTTCTCCCTCGAGAGGCTGTCACTAAGTTCCTGTTGGGATGTGCTGAGTGCCAAAAGCGTCTGGACTTAGACTCTCTGGGGTCTGACATTTTCAAAAATAACAAGGACACCCCTGTAAAGAGAGCTCAAAAGAGGAAACACAACACTTGGGATCCAAGCCCTTCTTCGTTTTCCATTGACCCCTCTTGCTATTCGACGAATTTATCAATCCCTCTCGACAACAGAAAACGCAAATATTTGAAACTCCCCAAATACCCGAGTGAACTGTGCCTGGCGGATGACGAGGGCAACAATTCTGATGGTTATGTTCCGACTGATAAGTACGAGGATTCCCGGGAGTTTTACCCAACATGTAAGGAGAGTTCGACACGTAACCCAACCAAAGCGATTGAGTACCACCGTGACGATAAACTATTTCAAGTTGCGACGAAAACAGAGTCTGATGGTGAGGAGGAATCTAAAGCTAAGCCTAGTCTGAAATTGTGTATCAAGGAAGAGACTGATGAGAAAACTGATTTAGTTCTTGACTTTCGTTACAAATCACTGAAATCTCTCGCTCGACAAAAGTTTAAAGATCAAGACAAGGATACTGAAGACTCTGAGAAGGACGAGGCGAGCGATGTCGAGCGAAAATACGTATGCGAGAGTAACAAGTTGCACCCGAAACTAGACTCTCGAGATCCTCTGTATAAAATAAAATCGGAGTTCTACCTAAGGCACCAGATTGACCATCAGAATGTGAGGAAAGAAAGGGATTACTTTGTAAATGTTCCTAACTTGCTTCCGCCAGCCCCAGTTCTCTCTCTGAGACTAGGTCACGAGGATGGGTACCCATCAGAGAAGAAAATTACCGACCCGGTCAGAGCATGTAATTCCAAAAAGTACTTACTACCCCACGCGAACGGGTCCTCGAGGAGGAAAAGGTTCTCTTCGAAGAGGTACACCTCCACCCCCGAGCCAATGAGCCACCTGTACTCGCGAAACTCGAGCCAGAGCCTGAGATACGGTCCGCGCAACAGCAGCTCGAGCACGAACGAGAACGAATCCTGCGAGAACAGCTACGGAGCTGAGATTTTGGACCTTTCCCCGATAAACTCGCAAAATCGAATTTCAAAGTTCAAGTTGCCCCAATCGAAAGCACCGGTGTCTTACATTCAGATCCCGGTCTGGAACCCTGACTTGTTGCGATATCACTCCAAGGGTAGGACAATGGAGTCGGGTCGAACGGCGAGGGTTCCAGACGCAGACCCCTCCGAGTGTCCGGACCGGCTTTCGGCGCACCCGACGGACGAGGATAGTGACTCGGATCACCCCACCAGCACTTGTGAGAGGAGGACCAAACACGTCGGATATTTTGACCAGGAACCTACTTCTAGCCAGGTAAGCTTCTTAGAAACTTTCACACATCATGGAAATATTTTGATTCGACGTTATCATGGTACTGGGAATTGCGATGATTTAATGGAAATTAAAACCTTATTTGGGTCCATTGAGAGGATGAGCGAATATATGAGTAATTGAGTAGCCCGTTTACCCATACTTTTGAGGCAATATTTTTGGGGTCAATTTTAACTTTCAGCTGTCCCCTCGTCCATGTATTTCACCGCGGTCTCTCGTAGAAAAGCTGGGATTAGTCAAGAATGTTACTGTAACTTCATCTACATCTTTTTTATTTAGAATATTTCAAATAGGTATCAAATATGGCAAACTATTTTAAAGTAGCAATCCTCTAAAAAAAGCGCTGTGTGGACCACTAAACAAGGTCTGAAATAGAAGGAGGTCCTCCATCACAGGTTCTCTCTTCAAAATCCCACATAGAAAATATCTCACACGAAGAGAAATTTGAAATAAACTCCATGCGAGAGTATGACAAGTCTCTAAGACACAAATCAAATGAAATTTCGATTATGACGTCATTTGTATTTTTGTCATTTGGACTGCATTTTGCAATTCGGAACTATAAATTCTTGCTCTTCTGGAAAAACACTTAAGTGCATAGGGAGACAAATGGCACATACGTTGCTTCTAAACCGGGCTAGAATTTGTAGTTCCAAATTGCAAAATTCAGTTCATTTAACCAAAAGTAACAGACAATACGTATATCTTGCTTTGGAGTTGATTCTCAGACTTCCCATTATGTGATTCGTTTGCCTTGGGGAATTTTATGGGGGAAAAAACGTATCGTTCTGATTAAAGTCATACCTTGTCTAAATGTCAATTTTATACTGGGCATGCACCATCACGATTCCTTACGCTATCCTTTGCATTAGGTTCAAGTTGAAAACACCCTGGCTGGGATTTGGAAAAGTATAGCTAAGGTTTTTCAACGGAGCATCTAGCAACGCTGACTAAAGGTGGACGAAGGCTATGAGCTCGGACAACGGAGGTGCGGGGGGTAAATAGGGAGCCGTAAAGGTGAGGGCGGAAGGCGGGGGGAGGTGTATGGGGGACGGGGGCGACTTGTACCTCTGCCAAGCATGCAGCGATAACCGAGCGCAAAATTTGTAGCGGTATTGTCATAATTGAGGGGATTTGCTGATCCCGAACTCCTTTTATAGGGGGGATATTGACAAGGCTCGTCATTGGAGATGATGATTAATCTAACCTCGTCTCCTGTGGTGGTGAGTGGTGCGGCGACAGGACGGGGCAAAGCAAAGCCGAGGCCTGGCTCCGGCTTAAGCCACGGCTCCACAGACAACCCGCGACGTGAAATTAACCGCGCGACAGTGTGAAATCATCACGAAGCTGCCCGCTTTTACAGATGCAGGCGACGCGAGTCGCTGTATGAGTGGAAGGCAGGCTCAATGCTTGTTTGGATACTGCAGTCGATTGCGCTCGATCGACTTGGCGCGGTTGAGTCACGTCGCGCGCTGTCTGTGGAAGCGTGGCTCGAGGCCCCGCCGCGGCACCGGCGACAAATGAGCCGGTAGAATGCGCCAGTTCGCGAATTTATGCGCGCCGCTCGCCGCTCGTTGCGTCCATTTCATTTGTCACTGTTACCGAGCTAATGTGCCTACTGCCTCGGACTGGGCGCCCTCAAAAATGTTTTACCTCATAAAACTCCGCGGCTCACATTTGTCTCCGGGCTGCTCGAAGTACTAACTCAGCAAATCCTCACATGGGGGAAAATTTCTCCGCTCGAATTAACATAAGGTCGTTGGCTCGTGGAATTAAAATTACTTGCATTGATTTAAACGGGATTCTTACCCGGCCCAAGGAGTTCGTCTCGATTTCAGCGGGAAATTCCTTTTGAATAATTAGATGACGTGAAGCAGAGGGGAAACATATGCACAGCAATGTTGCTAAGGTCGCAAACCCTCTTTGATCTTGCATTAAATGCATCAAAGTTTGATATTTGTTTATTTTCGTAGAAAAAAGATGCATCAGGGACGAAAATTATGTTAGGACTTTATTAAATGCTCCACTGTCATTTGCATACGCAGAAAAGAAAATATAATCTAAGGTAATATTTAATGTCTTCAGTGAAAATGGTGGAGTTTAGTACCTGCGCAAACTTATTTGAAAAATTTGGAAATGCGTTCTATCTGTACAGTACGAATAAATATATCATGCCTTATAAATATAGTTGAGAGACGGGTATAATATTTTTAATAGAAATCGTAAGAAACTAAAATATGCAAATTTTGACAAGGATCGTTCATGACACTACCCTTATAAACGAATAGTTGCCAAAAGCTGATAGAATCGGTATGTGTACATGGACGCACTGATGAAATGACAAATCCATCTGAGGGGATGTTTAAGGTTTGTAATGTTTCTCACTCCAATTGTGCGGTTAAAAATTCCGACTCAAATTTATGAAAACATGAATTGGCGTTTTTGGGATGTTAATTGATGCACGAAATAACTTAGCACATACTTGGATACCGCGTTCTCAAAGTCTGCCTCAAAACTTGACATTAAGGCCGTGTGGGGATCTTTTAGAGGAGCTTTGCTAGAAAATACTATTTATCTTGGAGCGGACATGATCACTTTTACAGTGATATTTCATGCATAGCAGGATTAAAGTTTTCGTGAATCTGGAGTTTCTCAATATTTTGAATATTTCAAAGGTAAAAATTAGAGTTTTTTGCCGTTTATAGAAGGCCGGATAATTTTTACTAGTACACATCACCACTGTCTTTGTTTAATCGATATTTTCTATTTTAAATCCTCTATACTGGACTAACTTTGTTTGTTCAAATAAATTGTTAAACTCACTTGCACGTACAAATGAGTTAAATTGCGCAATTTAACTAATTGTTACGTGCAAGTGAGTTTTACAATTTTATTTGATCAATTATCATGTGCGGGTCTCCAAACGAATCTTGAAATTTGTTTGTGTCGTTAAAATTCTTGCGATCTAATTTTTTCACTAGAGTTATAGAGTAGAACAGTAATGTTATATACAATTCTGGCAAGCAGAAAATAGCAGGAGAAAATCCTCAGGGGTGAGAGAGTACGGAGAAAGAACGAGAGAGAGCTTAGAAAGGGGCAGAGACGCAAGAGGAAGTCAAAGCCTGTTCTACGTCCTTTCTAGGGACACGGGCGCCCGGGCGGGTGAAATGGATGAAAAGTAAGAAAAAATGTGAGAAAAATGAAAGAATCGTACGGAAAAGGTACTGCGGTGGACAGGAACAGGGACAGCGAGAGGGACAGGAATGAGAATGCGAGGGGTGGAAGCGGGCGCGAGCGGGGGCGGGGGTGAGGGCGGCAGGGACCGAAGGATGGGCGGCCGGGGTGGACGGGGACGGTAAGGGTTGTTATAGTACGGATGGAAAATGTGGGTATTAGAGCAGAGGGTGGTGTAGAGTGACATCCAATATTATTTTGAGAAGGCTAAACTTTAGACTTAGGGCGCTGCGGTGGGTGACGGTCGTTGGGTTGCGGGGCTCAGGACATGACGGGGGAGGGAAAAGGGGGTGGGGGATTATAGGGTGGCAGAGGGATGGGTAAGTGGGGGGGTGGGGGGTGGGGAGTCAGAGGGGTCGTCGCCGAGGCGAGTGGGTTGAGAGGGCCTCAATGGTTGTGAGGCTTCAAAGCTCAACAGTCCGGCTTTGCCCGTACCCATCTCAACAACTTTTCCATTTCCATTTTTCTCGCAAGTTTTCGTCTTCCGCTCCGATCGAACCGTACCGATAGTGGTTTCGTCGAGAATAAAAAACAAAGGGTCCAAGTAACAACCATGCATATTTTTAAAGAAAGTACCAGAGGCAGCTTCAAGGCGCAGTACCTGTAGAAGTAAACTTTTCTATCAGAACGGCAATTTTCCAATCTATGCCTTCTTACTTTCGGGTAGTTTGGCAGGTGCTGCTCCGAAGTACTTTTGCATACTTGCAGTTCAACAAAGAATGCAAATACACACATCTAAAACAAAATCTAAAAATCACATGTAAATCTTTTCCTATCATCTCAGCCTTTGTGTACAAATGAGGATATTGTGAAGTAGAAAAAAAAAACATGCTTCTAAAGAGAAAGTCTTCTTCGACTTAAGGAAGGATTTCGAGCAAACTTCATTCTAGTCTAATAAGTTTTCACTACGGGCTTTACTTAAGCAAAATCTTTGGATAAGTTGTAGGCAATTAAAAATTACCGGCAACTTGCAAGTCGCTTGCAAATTGGCGTGGCAAAATTGCAATAATTCACATAAAAACAATAAAGGTTTCGATGATAGAATGCCTTAGAATCATGATATCGGTTTGTGGCGCCTTCATTTCTCTGATACTTCACCCTTCGTCGTACAGTTTGTTAAGTTGCCTATCCCACCGAAACCAGACTGAGGTGACACTGAATTGCACACGCAAATGTACTAAATGCAGCTGCGTAACGTACTCAAGGAGAGAAAGCGTTTGTAACAATTCACGGCACAATGATCTGCGTTTTTTCCGTGTTTTTTTATTTCTGAATTTTATCTCAATCTATTCATCACACTGCTTTTTGCCTGCGACAGCTACACTACTTGTTGCTTCACGCAGAACATTTTTCAACTTTATCCCATCGCGAATGTTCGAAGCAGCGACTGTTAATATTCACTTAAACTCCTGTTGGTTGACTTTTAATATATTTTACTATTGTTTTACGAATAAAATTGACTCTTAAATTTTGCGTGAAGCCCGGTAGTTACATAGTGGTGCGTATGGACGCGTGTAAATGCGCAATCTTTGACATTTTTTTTTCTCTTTTTATAAAAAAAAATAAAAAAAAAAAAAAAAAATCACAGAATCTTTACCATTTCTCTTCAACAGTTGTAGTCGCGGAATAAATTCAAAACTCTGTCAATGGGCTCTAAAAATTTTAAAAGTAAGAAATTACAACAAAAGCCAACTTGTCATAGAGTCTTAGTTGCTATCCACTGTTTTAATTGTTAACGTAGGAGTGTG